TCTGCTAGGTTCATGCATTCTGTATATAGCAGAATCACTTGTACGAAAGCAACGAGCCTCTGGCACTTGCAAATGGAATGCTGGAAGGATCCGAACACACAATTTGGCACTAAAAGTACGACTGGTGGCTTAGCGTAATGGCTGACTCCAGTACAGTCGTAAGTCAAAGACTACTGCACTTTCCATCGGGCACCTACAAATGTAGAAACTGCCGCCTTCATCCAACTACCTGGCCAGAGGCCTCCAAGCCTTCAGCATGATCCTATCTGTTAGGCTGCAGTGTTTCTCAACCTTGACAATTTTAGGGCATGTGGACTTCAACTCCCAGAATTCCACAGCCAGCAATGCTGGCTGTGGAATTCTGAGAGTTGAAGTCCATATGCCTTAAAATTGTCAAGGTTGATAAACACTGTGTTAGGGACTGTAACGGTCACTAAAGCTGATGGAATTAACAGAGATGGCCAAATTAACTGTGCTGATAAAAGAAAAGACAATCAGTTACTTGGAAACCGCTTCTGGACTTTGTGCTTGAAGTGGGAAAAAAAAGATCATGATTTTGGGGTTTTACTGATTAGACTGATTTGCCGGTACAGAAATGGCAAGTGCATGCTACTATAGAAATGTAAAAAGTTGAGATTTGATTTTAAGGTCTGATTTTACCACAATAGAGAGAGTCGGAAGTCAATGCCTTTTGTTTCTTCCCCCTCTCTTTCTTCACACCTTTTTTGTTTTTCCCTTTTTCTACTGTCGTCCCCAACTATTGGCTTTTGTATTTTCACATTTGATGTTATGAATCAGGGGTCTTCAAACTTGGCCCTTTTATGACTTGTGGACTTCAACTCCCAGAATTCCTCAGCCTGGCTGAGGAATTCTGGGAGTTGAAGTCCACAAGTCATAAAAGGGCCAAGTTTGAAGACCCCCTGGTCCAATGCCTTGGGATTTTAGAATTAGTTTTACCTCGCCTTCACCAGGCCATATATTCAATAAACAATAAGATTTATTTAATTTAATTTTGTAATCTCCCACTCTAGATGGCCTCACGGCAAAGAGAGCAAGGAAAACCAGCAGCGTAAGTAAATGACAATGCTTTCAGCTAGCCTGCGACCATTATAAATGCCGTAAATTATGATCTACTGGATGAGAAATATATCTATTAATTCTAATTTATCATCCAGCAAATTCACATTCATTAGATGCAAACTGGGTCGACTGCATGCATTTAAGTACAACTATACCTTCCTGTTTCTGCCACAGCTAATCAAAAGAGTTACTCCGGATCAAAAGCGAGCTCTACCGATATAGGTGTTCTCGTCCCATCAGAGAAAAGCAAAAGTCTGTTTCTTTGTAGTAATGCAGGAGATCACATATTTATATGAAATGGAAGTCAACTACCCTTTTTTAATATATATATATATATATATATATATATATATATATATATATATATATATATATATATATATATATATATATATATTATGTTTTATCAATGGGGATAAAATACAACACAGAAAAGAAAAACATACATCCAACCAAAAAGAAAAGGAAAAAACAGTGTACAAAAAAGAAAAAAAAGACCAATTTTCTTTTCTCCCCCCCCCCTCCTTACTTTTTGGGAAATAAACTATCCTGTATCTTAGGCACATGGATAAACTTGGAGGGGATGTTATGCTGGCTTGCGGAAGCTAGCTTAGTTACCAGGAAAACAAAGTTATGAAATAGGACAGCGACACCTGCTGGCCACAGTGAATATTAAAAGGAGGAAAGTCTGAAGGACAATAATTTCTGAAAAGCACAAACGAGGAAAGCAGCATTTGTTGAAAGATGTGCCTAGAGACCCATCAATGCACCACAAACAATTGTCCCCACCCTAAAATATAGACCTTTATTTTTTTTATGAAGATGTTATTACTAATACTTGTAACTACTATTACAACAAAAACAGTTAAAGCCAGGGGATTTCTTTGTAGTATTCTGAAGCCAAAGCTTCAGAATAAGTCCTCGACTTACGTCCACAACTGAGCCCAAAATTTCCATTGCTAAGCGACACGGTTCTTAAGCCAGCTCCGCCCCAGTTTATGACCTTTCTTGCCACGGTTGTTAGGTGAATCGCCGCCGTTGTAAAGTTAGCCACACGGTCGTTAAGTGAAACTGGCTTCCCCATTGACTTTTGGTTTCAAAAAGGGATCACATGACCCCCGGGATACTACAACTGTCATAAGTACATGCTAGTTGCCAAGCCTCTGAATTTTGATCCCGTAACCGTGGGGAGGCGGCAACGGTTGTAAGGGTGAAAAACGGTCCTCAGTCACTTTTTTTTCAGTACTGTTGTAACAGTCACTAAATGAACTGTTGTAAGTGGAGGACTACCTGTATCCAATAAGCAGATTTCCTCGACCCCGCACGAAACTTTCTCCTGGAGAACGGGAGAAGCGAGGTCAGTGAGGAGGTCACGGGAGGTGAGGCGCAATGTTCTGGGTCAGGAGAGTCAGTGAGGGCGGAGAGCCAGTGGAGCAAAGGTGGAGGCCCTAGGAACTGGAGGAAGTGGACCAACATGGGCTTCCTGGAGGGCTGAAAGCATTCCTGAAACACTGCCCCCTCCCAGGCTTTAGCGAGGGAAGGCCCAGGGCAGGGGTAGGCAACCGTGGCTCTTTTATGAGTCGTGGACTTCAACTCCCAGAATTCCTGAGCCAGCCATGCTGAGGGGATAGGGAGAGGTTTCCATGCTTAGCCATGCCAGCTCAGGAATTCTGGGAGTTGAAGTCCACGAGTCTTATAAAAGAGCCAATGTTGCCTACCCCTGTCCTAAGTCTTCCTGTTCTAAGCGGTGAGCCTCCTAGGCCAGGGGTAGGTAACCTTGGCTCTTTTATGACTCGTGGACTTCAACTCCCAGAATTCCTGAGGCAGCTTGGCTCAGCTTGGAAACTCTCCCTTTCCCCTCAGCATGGCTGGCTCAGGAATTCTGGGAGTTGAAGTCCACGAGTCATAAAAGAGCCAAGGTTGCCTACCCCTGGCCCAGGGGATCTCGGCCTAGCCTTCCTCCTGCAAAGCCTCACAAACATCCAGCACATTCCAACAATGTGGGACAGGAGTCTCCAAACTTTGTTTTGGCGGCCCGGTGAGAGAGGGAGGGGCAGGCACCTCACACGCAGATGAATAAAAGTGAATGTAGCCAGCCGTGCACTCGCACATACAAACAGGCTGCGAACATGTGCACCACGCAAATGGGACTGCAAGCATGCGCGCCAGGCTCTCAGCCATGGCGGCATCTGTGTGAGAGTTATGGCGCCACCACCTCCAGGCTCACGGCGATGCTACCGCCAGCGCAAGGATCATGCTGCGGCCTGCAGCAATGCCACTCCCGGTGCGAGCCTCACGCCGTGGCCCGCAATGAGGCTGCCCCGGCGCAAGGATCGCGCCACCATTCCGCGTGAGGATCACACTGCGGCCCACCTGCTGCTTGCAGCGCTGCCGCCATCCGTGCAATACCAGTGAGGCTGCCGCTGCCCACACAACACTTGTGGCAACAGTGGCATGAGGGGGGATGAGCCCACGCATACACACATGCACTGCCTAGCTACTCACATGGCCCAGTGGCCAAGCGGCCACAGCCCATAGGTTGGGGACCTCTGATTTACACCAATGTGGTATAATAAGACCACTGAACGTGCGAATAGTCCAGGCCATGGTTTTCCCAGTTGCAATGTATGGCTGTGAAAGTTGGACCATAAGAAAGGCTGAGCGCCAAAGAATGGAGGCCTTTGAACTATGGTGCTGGAGAAGACTCCTGCGAGTACCATGGACTGCAAGGCGTTCAAACCGGTCAGACCTAGAAGAGATCAACCCCGACTGCTCCTTAGAAGGCCAGATCCTGAAGTTGAACCTCAAGTACTTTGGCCAACTAATGAGAAGGAAGGACTCACTGGAGAATGGCCTAATGCTGGGAAAGATGGAGGGCAAGAGAAGAAGGGGACGACAGAGAATGAGATGGCTGGATGGAGTCCCTGAAGCAGTAGGTGTGAACTTAAATGGACTCCAGAAGATGGTAGAGGACAGGAAGACCTGGAGGAACGTTGTCCATGGGGTCGCGATCGGTCGGACACGACTTGCAATTAACAACAACAAAATGCTGTGTTTCCCCGAAAACAAGACCCAACCGGAAAATAAATTCTAGCATGATTTTTCAGGATGTTTGTAATATAAACCCCACCCCAAAAATAAGCCCCAGTTAAGATCAGCAGTCAGACGGATGCAGTTAGTACTATATTTCCCCAAATATAAGCCCTAACTAGAATTTAAGCCCTAATGCCTCTTTTGGAGCAGAAATTAATATAAGACCCAGTCTTATTTTGAGGAAAACACTGTAGCAGGAAGCACACTCCACAACTGTGCATAATTTCAACACCTACAATTAGTCTTCGACTTAGAATTTGCTTAGTGACCGTTCGAAGTTATGACGGCACTGGGAAAAAAATGACTTCTAACCATTTCCCACACTTGTGACTGTTGCAGCATCCCCGGGGTCACTTGATTTACATTCGGATGCTTGACAACTCACACTTAGGACGGTTGCAGCGTCCTGGGATCATGTGATCCCCTTCTGCGACCTTCTGTGAGGCAAAGTCAATGGAGAAACCAAATTCACTTACCAACCGTCTTACTACTTTAACCCGGGCAGTGATTCCCTTAACAAACGGGACAAGAAAAAGCCGTAAAATGGGGTCAAAACTCACTTAACAAATTTCTCACTGGGCGACATGCGCTTTGGGCTCAACTGTAGTCATAAGTCGAGGACCACCTGCAATTCCTCGCTTGAAAATGGCGAGGGAAACCTTCCACCATCTTTGACGCTCTCAGACATTCACGACTAACACCCATCGTTCCAAGCCAGAAAACCGTGTCAGGAAGTCAGAGACCGTCACAGCCCGGCGAGTCTTACTGTAAAATGGACATCTTAGGCCGCAACAACTGAAGCACCAGTAGAGAAAGAAAGGTCTCACCTTCTTGAGACGAGACGAGAGGTGGCATGTAATCTGGAATATATTCCTTCCTCTCCTCGGCATCTTTGCTTCCGGGCGGAGGAAACTGTAGTACGTTGTTTTTACTCACAGGGAAGGAAGGGATCTGGTGTGCAAAAGTAACCGGCTCAATATTGAGTATGTAATCTTCCAGTTCGTGAAGGTTGACCCCCATGAGCTTAAAGGCTTCACCCACATCCTCCAAAATTGGGTCTGTCCGGCCATCTGGAACACAAATAAAATGTTAATGGCAACAAAAAAAAATCCACCAAACATTTTAAAAAGTTAACATGTCTACCCGCCGTACAGAAGCGGCTTTTTTTAAAAAGCAGCAAATAAGTTGGCCGTTCAAAACGTCATTCGAGAGGACGGGAAATGTAAACACATCTTTTTTTTTTCCTTTCCGCTTCCACAAGGCTGTATTTACTCAATGACCTATTGTCAGGATTTGATTTTCGCTGCCTGGCTCGGGTACTGAAATGACAAGCAAATGGCAATTTAGCAAGTGCTCACTAGAGCGGAAAAGTAGGATATAAAATAAATAGAATTTACTCGGAAGGCGACTGAAATAGTAATGTCAGCAGAATTTCCTACTCGTGTCGGTCGAGAAGTCACAACCTCGGTTGCCAAGAATCACCAAAGCAAGTAAACAGGTGTCAGTAAATATATACCGTTTGACCTACTCCCATTTGCCCTTGTCAACCCTACACAGGTAGTCCTCGGCTTACGACAGTTCATTTAGTGACCGTCCAAAGTTACAACGGCACTGAAAAAAGGGACTTATGACCTTTTTTCACACTTACGACCCTTTCAGCGTCCCCGTGGTCGTGTGATTTACCATTTGGATGCTTGGCAACTGGTTCAGATTTATGACGGTTGCAGTGTCCCGATGTGGGTGTGTGTCAGGTATTCTCCTTTTGCGACCTCGTGACAAGCAAAGTCAATGGGGAATCCGGATTCACTTCACAACCTGTGTGTGACTGATTTAACTGCAATGATGCGCTTAAAAAGTGCCGCAAGAAAAGTCGTAAAATGGGAACAAAACTCACTTCACAAATTTGTCACTTGGCAACATAAATTATGGGCACAATTGTGGTCGTAAACCGAGGACGTCCTGTATTCGAAATTATTGTCTACAATAAATTGCAGAAGGAGCTGAGCTTTCTTATAGCATTTCTGCAGAACAGGAAGTTGTCTCAAACCAGTCTGATTATGTTCCCACTTAACTCAACCCTGTGTTCTGCCACGATCCACAATCCCCACAGCCTCTGGGGATGACATACAGGTAGTTTTTGATCTGTGACCGGTTGCTTAGCCACCATTATGGATCTACTTGAGGGCTACTTACGATCCGATGGGCCTCTCCCCTGTGGCTACATGAACACAATTGAGGCGCCACGCTCATCTGGGCCACCTTTATGTCCATTGGCAATATCTGACCTGTGGTCATCTGACCACATTTTACAAGGGTTTTGTCAAAAACCAACATTCCAGTTTTGGGCAAAACCACATCCATAGTGAGCCATTGGTTCACTAAATGACTGTGGCATTCGCTTAATGACTGCAGGGGGCGCTTGCTTTATGACTAGGGCAGCTGCTTAATGTTCACAGCAAAAGGCTGCAAAAAAGACAGACATGACATACGACCGTGATGGGCAGGATCCATTGCACTCATAAGTCAAGGACTAACGTCTAATGAAGAGAAGGACCAGGGGGGACATGATGGCAGTCTTCCAATATCTCAGGGGCTGCCCTCAGGGGCTGCCCCAAAGAAGAGGGAGTCAAGCTATTCTCCAAAGCCCCTGAAGGCAGGACAAGATGCAACGGATGGAAACTAATCAAGGAGGGAAGCATCCTAAAACTAAGGAGAAAATTCCTGACAGTGAGAACAATTAACCAGTGGAATGGCTTGCCACTAGAAGTTGTGCTTGTTCCATCACTGGAGGTTTTGAAGAAGAGATTGGACAGCCATTTATTTGAAATGGTATAGGGCCTCCTGCTTGAGCAGGGGGTTGGACTAGAAGACCTCCAAGATACCGTCTAATTCTGACAGCAGCCTTCCAATATCTCAGGGGCTGCTCCAAAGAAGAGGGAGTCAAGCTATTCTCCAAAGGACCTGAAGACAGGACAAGAAGCAACGGATGGAAATTAATCAAGGAGAGAAGCAATCTAGAACTAAGGAGAAACTTCCTGACAGTGAGAACAATTAACCAGTGGAACAACCTGCCTCCAGAAGTGGTGAATGCTCCAACACTGGAAGTTTTAAGAAGAGACTGGACAGCCATTTGTCTGGAATGTTATAGGGTTTCCTGTCTGAGCAGGGGGTTGGACTAGATGACTTCCAAGGTCCCTTCCAACTATTATTATTATTATTATTATTATTATTATTATTATTATTATTATTATTATTAACATCTATAGACCATGCAAAAGAGACAATCGACATTAACAACATCTATAGACTATAAGAAAGGCTGAGCGCCAAAGAATGGAGGCCTTTGAACTATGGTGCTGGAAAAGACTCCTATGAGTCCCCTGGATTTTAAAAGGCCAGATCCTGAAGTTGAAACTCAAGTACTTTGGCCACCTAATGAGAAGGAAGGACTCACTGGTGAAGGGCCTGATGCTGGGAAAGATGGAGGGTAAGAGAAGAAGGGGATGACAGAGAATGAGGTGGCTGGATGGAGTCCCTAAAGCAGTAGGCGTGAGCTTAAATGGATTCCAGAAGATGGTAGAGGACAGGAAGGCCTGGAGGAACGTTGTCCATGGGGTCACGGTAGGTCAGACACGACTTCGCAACTGACAACAACACAGACTATGCAAAAGAGACAATCAACCAGCCCCAAAGAGAAAAAGACTCCAGCACCTCTCCATCAGTAATCAGCACTCAGATCACCATTGATTAACTCCAAGGTCAACTTCAGACCAACAATCAAGTAAGCAACACTGCCAAAGAGCCACTAGTAAACAGCCCAACTAAAGAGTCCCTAAAACCGCCCCACTCACACAGAGAGACAAGACACCTGAATATAAACCGACAGCAAACAGCACTCCTTATTAGCACTGATGATGCTGCCTAGTTGCGTCATGAAACGTCTGCAGAAAAACAACCAAGCTCACAGAGCACCAAGGACCCCACAGTCCTTCCTTCCTCCTCCTCCCTTCTAGTACTGATGATGTTACCTAGTTGGGTCATGAAACATCTGCAGGAAAACAACCAAGCTCAGAGAGCACCAAGGACCCCACAGTCCTTCCTTCCTTCCTTCCTTCCTTCCTTCCTTCCTTCCTTCCTTCCTTCCTTCCTTCCTTCCTTCCTTCCTTCCTTCTCCTCCTCCTCCCCCTCCTCCCTTCTTGCACTGATGATGTTACCTAGTTGGGTCATGAAACGTCTTCCAGAAAACCAGCAAGCTCAGAGAGCACCACCTCATGTCATCTCTGAGCTACAAACATTCTTCATTAGATTTGAACCCATTTAGAGCAGATGGGGACTGCAGCCAAGAAATTAAAAGACGCTTGCTCCTGGGGAGGAAAGCTATGGCAAATCTAGAGAGGATACTAAAAAGCAGAGACATCACCCTGCCAACAAAAGTGTGTATAGTCCAGGCCATGGTTTTCCCAGTTGCAATGTACGGCTGTGAAAGTTGGACCATAAGAAAGGCTAAGCGCCAAAGAATGGACGCCTTTGAACTATGGTGCTGGAGAAGACTCCTGTGAGTCCCTTGGACTGCAAGGCGTTCAAACCGGTCAGTCCTAGAAGAGATCAACCCTGACTGCTCTTTAGAAGGCCAGATCCTGAAGTTGAAACTCAAGTACTTTGGCCACCTAATGAGAAGGAAGGACTCACTGGAGAAGAGCCTAATGGTGGGAAAGATGGAGGGCAATAGAAGAAGGGGACGACAGAGAATGAGATGGCTGGATGGAGTCACTGAAGCAGTAGGTGTGAGCTTAAATGGACTCCAGAAGATGGTAGAGGACAGGAAGGCCTGGAGGAACGTTGTCCATGGGGTCACGATGGGTTGGATACGACTTCGCAATTAACAACAAGAGCAGAGAGAGGTTACCTTACATTTTCTTGCCTATTTGGACCTCTTCTATATCCTAAGCTGTTGCTTTTAATAGCTTGGCCCAGTGTTTCTGCACCTCGGCCCCTTTAAGAGGGGTGGACTTCAACTCCCAGCATTCCCCAGCCAGCTATGCTGGCTGGGGAATGCTGGGAGTTGAAGTCCTCCCTTCTTAAAGGGGCCGAGGTGCAGAAATATTCCGTTGGGCTATTTTTTTTTCTTCTTTGGGGGGCGGTTCCCTCGCTTGCCCTCGGTCGCCACGGCAACGCCCCTCCTTCCGCCTTGCTCCGACTCCATGGCAACCCGCGAGCACCAACCCCGCCCCCCGCTCCCAGGCCCCAAGCCCTTCACTCACAGAGCTCGCAGTAGCGTCGGCAGCCCCGGCCCAGGGAGTGGAGGTAGCGCTGCAGCACATCGGTGAGGAGGTCGCAGGCGGAAAGCTGCACCGAGTCCCATCCCAGCGCCTGGCACACCTGCGCCACCGACACGCGCAGCAGCCACCGCGAGTAGCTCTCGGACATCTTCGCCTCACTCCGGGCCCGGCAAGGCCCAGAGCGCCGCCATGGCCCGAGCGGAAGCAAGCGTCCTCCCCTCACGCCGCAGCCGTTACTGCCGTTGCAGTGGCCGCCATCTTGGAGTCACCTGGCGGCCTCGCAGGCCGCGGCAGCCGAGCACGGAGCACATCGATCGCGCGCATGCGCCCTGGCGATCGTGGCCCATCGATAGCGCGGGCATCGATTCCTTGCTTTGCCTTGCTGCGGCTGAGCGGTTTGAACACGGGTTCGAAGAAGGTCGTGTGGATGCGGCGCTCTGGTTTTTTTTTTGTTTGTTTTTTGTTTGGTCTTTTTGCGGCCCTTTTTTCTGGAGCACCCGTGTTTGCAGAGCCAGAATTATCTGAGTAGCCTTACCTAGATGTTTGGGGGCTAAGCTTTTTCAGGGAAGATGTCAGGGCACTTCTGCTTCCTGGAGTTTGTCTGGAAGCTTCCAACGCCGGATGGTCCTCGACTCGTTTAGTGACCGCTCGACGTGACCAAGGCACTGAAAAAAGGCTTTAGCAGCCCTTTCCTTAGATAGAAGGTATGAAAAAGGATATAATGAGAAATAATGAAATAAAGAACAAGATGAAATAAACTAAATATCGGCTGCAACTTCGGTCTTGTATTTATTTTATTTCTAAAAATAAATACAAGACCGAAGTTGCAGCTGATATTTATTTTATTTCATCACGTTCTTTACTTCTTTAGTTTTCATTATGTCCCTTTTCATACCTTCTATCAAATTTAATTGTGAACTACCTAGAGTTAGCCTGGAGTCGAGTGGTGCCTAAATTGAATGAATGAATAAATAATTTAGGGCAGAGGAAAATCATCCGGAAGTTTATGGTGCCTAAATTGATGGATTGAATGAATGAATAATTTAGGACAGGAAAATCATCCAGAGGTTTATATGTTCAGAGGTGTCTATCTATCTATCTGTCTGTCTCTCTCTCTCTCTATCTATCTATCTATCTAACTATTGTTAAAAGTAAAGTCTTCATCCTGGTTCATCCAAGCCGGGAATAAATAAGCAAACATGGCGACTGCTTTGGGAAGAAGGTTACAGTTTATTGCAGAAAGATGGTTCTTCAGGAAAGTGCAGAGGAGAGAAGGAGAGAGAGATTGAGCACATGGGCAGGTTTTATACCCCCCCCCCCAGCCTTTTGTTTGGAATAGTTTCCCGTTCCTGTGGCATGAACCTTGAGGCTGTTTCTGAGTGTTTGTCTAGGCCAGTGATGGCGAACCTTTTAGAGACCAAGTGCCCAAACTTCAACCCCAAACCCACTTATGCATCGTCGGGTGCTGGGTGGGTGTGGCCCATTAGGTGGGTGTGGCCCATTGGGTGGGCGTGGCTGTGGTGATAACAGCAGACTAGGTGGGACTAAAAAGTTCAATCAATCAATTCCAACTTTGCAAGATCTTTTTTTTTCCCACGAGAAGTTGAAATTGACTGATTGATTGAACCTTTTTTTTTTGTACAAGGCGGCCGAGGCCTAAAGCGAAAAGGTTTTATAAAACCCAACTGAAGGCCCAGGACTGGGGCGACGGCGCGTGTGCCCACACAGAGGGCTCCGAGTGCCGCCTCTGGCACCCGTGCCATAGGTTCGCCACCACTGGTCTAGGCCTTGATATCTGTGGTTTAATTCTATTATCCTATCCTGCTTCCCAGGTGATGGGGCTGACACCTAGAGTTTGGATGGGGTATGCAGATCTTCTCTTTTGTCTTCTTGATTGCTCTGGCTCCAACTTTCTGATGGTTTTACATCTGCATTTGTATGGGGCTAGCTCTTGCTTGGGGCAGAGAGATAGATTTGGGGCCAGGTTTGGTTTTAAAAAGTCCTTTTGAGGAAAAATATATTTTTCTGCCCTTTTTAATATTTCTTTCTCTGGGCTAACTTCCCTCACTATCTATCTATCTATCTACCTATCTATCTATCTATCTATCTATCTATCTATCTATCTATCTATCTCTGTATTTCTATCTGTATATCTATCTGTATCTCTATCTGTATCTATATATCTTTATCTATCTGTATCTGTATTTCTATCTGTATCTGTATCTATATATCTCTATCTCTATCTGTATTTCTATCTGTATCTATATCTATCTGTATCTATATATCTATCTTTCTATCTATATCTGTATCTATCTCTCTATCTCTGTATTTCTATCTGTATATCTATATTTCTATCTGTATCTATCTGTATATCTATCATCTATCTATATCTAGCTATATGTATTTCTATCTGTATCTCTGTCTCTATCTGTATTTCTATCTGTATCTCTATATCTATCTCTCTATCTATCTATCTGAAGCAAATTTGGAATTACAATTCAACTAAAATCAGCCAATATGTGACTGCTGCAAAAATGAAACTCCATATTTGAAATCCTTACGAATCTTTGATTTGGGGTTTTGCTGATTCGATAGGTTTGGTGTCATAGAAATGGCTGGTACATATTATTATACAAAAATAAAAATTTGAGGTTTCATTGCCTTATTCTACTGCACCAAAAGGAGTCAGAAGTCAATGCTTTTTTTTTTTCCACCCTGTACCTACACTTTTCTCTCTTCCCCTATTTTACCTTTATTTACCATTTTTCTTTATAGTTTTGTAGTTTATGCTTCAATAATAAAGTAATACAAATTTTTAACCTGAAATCCTTAGGGATAGCTTTATATACATCCATCCACCGAGAGACCCACTTTGAATTTGGGCCCAAAAAAGATATAGCCTTGGAAAAAGTTGCTTTTACAAAAAGGATATCCCAAACTATTAGGTGAATAGAACATCTGCTGGTTGAGGAAATGCTACACTATCAGTGCCTTTTAGCTTGTTAGAGACTTATCACGAGAGGCAGAATTGCCTTTGATTCAGTGGCCATCGAATTACACGGATAAGAAGCTGTCACAGTTCAATCAATGCTGCTTAGCTTCCAGGATTTATCTGATTGGCCACTGTGTGACACACAATATTGACTAAATGGCTTTTGGCCAGATCCAGCCTCAAGATTCTTTTCTACTTTAGACTTAAAGCCTCCTCCGTGACACAACGGAATGATTCTTTCCTTTCCTTTCCTAGAATTTACTAGGGGCATTAAAAACGATCGGATTTAGATTCAGGATAGACATCTACCGGGTTAGAGGCAGTTTGTCCTGGAGAAAATCTATCGCTGTGGTTGCTAGGAGTCGAAAATGACTTGACACGTAATCAATCTGTTGAAATTCCCAGGTTTATCACAAGTTGAAAAGTAAATAAATTATTGGTTTGCTTTTTTTAGCAGTGGTGACCATTTGTTGCTGCCTTGTATTTCTTTAATGAAAAGAAGGACCAGGGGTAACATGATAGCAGTGCTCCAATATTTGAGGGGCTGCCACAATGAAGAGGGGGTCAAGCTATTCTCCAAAGTACTTGAAAGCAGGACAAGAAGCAATGGATGGAAACTAACCAAGGAGAGAAGCAACCTAGAACTAAGGAGAAATTTCCTGACAGTGAGAACAATTAATCAGGGGAACGACTTGCCTCCAGAAGTTGTAAATGCTGGACTTTCTTGTTTTTCCTTGAAGACATTTCACTTCTCATCCAAGAAGCTTCTTTAGCTCTGACTAAAGGATGGAGAGTGGAAGGATTTATACTCCTTGCAGACAGCTGGTCATTTGCATTCTTTTAGAGTCGTTGAGGCCACCAGGTTTACCTGTGTCCCCAGGGTCATCTGAGTGGTGCAAATGTGTGTAGAGCCTTCTTGACTGCATAGAGCAGAAAACATAGTGGGGACACATATAAAGTTCCAAGTGGCCTCAACTACTCTCTAAAACAGTGGTTCTCAACCTCTGGGTCGGGACCCCATTTGGGGTCGAACGACCATTTCACGGGGGTCGCCAAACGCAGTCCGCCATTTCCCCCCCCTTTTCCTTAGCTGTGCTACTCCCTTTTATCCTATTGGCTTTTGAAAGCCAATAGAATAGACTCTCTTGAATAGAGTCTAATTCTATTGGCTTTCAAAAGCCAATAGGAATTGTCCAGGCTGTCTCTGCCCTGCTGAGCCCGCCAAAAGTCCCATTCTGCAAACGGTGCTACACCAGTTGAGTAGTCCTCGACTTACGACCGGTTGAGTAGTCCTTATGACTGGTTGGGGGTCGCGGCATTAAAAAGGTTGAGAACCACTGCTCTAAAAGAATGCAAATGACCGGCTGTCTGCAAGGAGGATAAATCCTTCCATTTCCCCCCACCATCCAGTCAGAGCTGAAGAAGCTTCTGGGATGAGAAGCGAAACGTCTTCAAAGAGAAACGAGAAAGTCCAGTCACCTCTTGAAAAAGCACCTTTGGGATCTACTACTGTGTCTTCAAAAAGCAGTTTTAATTTGTGATTTTTTTTTTTTAAATACGTGTCAGTGCTAGGGAGCAATTGCCTTTGTGGGGTCCTGGGTGCTCTCTGAGCTTGGTGATTTTCTTGAAGATGTTTCATTACTCAACTAGGTAACATCATCAACGATTTTGGGTCCGTGATTCAATTTTCTTTGTAGCAGGCCAGTTAAAAAAAGTTTGTCCCATTTTAAAGGATGCTCATATTGGAGCAAGCCACTTAAAAGATTGACCGAGAAAGTTGTGAGTGCAGATCATCTTCAAATAAAAACCATTCATTTAGTGACAGTTCAAAGTTACAACAGCACTGAAAAAAGGGGACTTATGACAACTTTTAACAACTGTCTTCCTTAGCAGTGGAAATGTCAGACTCAATCGTGGTCGTAAGTTGAGGACTACCCGTATCTAATGGTGCAAACTGCGGCACAATGAACAGCCTGTTATGAAGCTGTCCCTATTCATCACCTTTCACGCCCAGTTTTCCTGACAATCACATAACGGAGGAAACTTTCATGTAGGACTTTATTTGCAATACAAATTTCAAAGAGATGGGGATTCTCTGCCTGAGAATTCTTCACAGAACGACAGATTAATAATCTTCTCCCTTGAGAAAGGAACTGCTTGCTGGAAGACTCTCCTTTATCTATAAACAGAAACGATGTATTAAAAAGAGCTTGAACTCAAATTCATAACTTAATTGAATGTTTCATTTACCGATCCTCCAGTTCTGTCAAACGGTGAACCGCTTCT